CAATGAACAGTGAGTCGGGTTAAAGTGAATATGAGAATTGAAAAAGAAAGCTACCCCCTGGAAACGGCGGGGGGGAAAGCGAGCGGGGGAGGGCCCCCTCCCATACGCATGAACTAAACAACGAAATACTAAGGGGGGAGCGGAAGAAAAAGCGGTGAAATCTGTTTTGAGAGAGCATGGATAAGCGCATGGGCATATTTCAGAGACTTTAGCAAGTTTTTACAAAACTAAACAATCCATAAAGATGGTGGGGAAGAGGGCAAAGAAAGAAAAACCAGCAAAAGTGAAACCAGCCGGGATCATGAGCCCTTGACTGGAAGAGACCACTGAGCTTTCTAAAATGTTGGCAGAGTCCTTGTGCCCTCTGCTGGACCAGATGACTAAAATAGAACAACAGCTGATGAATCTAAACCAGAGCCTGGTAACTCAGCAACTCCAACTGACTGAAACTTTAAAAATAACGGAGCAAACAGCTGAGAAGGTGAAGAAAATGGATGTCAACGCTAAAAAAGTCAAGAAAAAGGTGCAAAAGCTGGAAACAAGCTTAGGAAGAAACACAACTTTTACAGCTGCAAATGGAGAAAGCAAATTTGGTCTTACGGTTTCAAGGGGTCCCAGAATCAAAAGGTGAGAATCTGAAGCAACTACTGAGTGAAGCATTAGCCCCAGCTACAGATTTGAAAGCAGAGTATCTTGCAAGCGAAATGGATGTGGTCTACAGGTCCTATTCTGTGTACATCAAAAAGAATAATCTGCCTGGGGAAATAGTGGCGAGATTCTCAAAGAGAAATGTAAGGGATTCTATCCTGAAAGCAACAACAGGAACACCCTTGAAAATCGGGGACAACACCATCAGGATTCTAAAAGATATTCCATCTGAAATAAGACAAAAGAGAAAGAAATATAAAGATCTAATCCTTTTTCTCCAAACAAACTGCATTGTTTACAGATGGTTAATTCCAGAAGCTGCGGTGGCTCAAGTGGTTAAGACGCTGAACTGCAGGCTGTGGAAGGTCAGTAGTTCAGCAGTTCGAGACCTGGGTGCCGCAAGACGGAGTGAGCTCCCGTCTCTAGTTCCAGCTCCTGCCAACCTAGCAGTTCGAAAGCAAGAAATTGCAAGTAGATAAATAGGTACCACTTCGGTGGGAAGGTAACAGCGTTCCGTGCGCCTTGGTGTTTAGTCATGCCGGCCACATGACCACGGATTCGACTGGCTTTCGAGCAAGGGAACCTTTACTTTTACTTTAATTCCAGAAGACGTCATTTTCAAAATACAAGATAAAAAAGAAAAGATTGACTCTGTTTCCAAAGCACATGAGTTCCTGAGAGTCCAGCTGGGAGAGCCAGCCGGGGTCGAGAAGGAAGAAGATGACAGCAAATCCAGTGGTGAATTGGACTCAGTGTCTTCCGACGAGGACTCTCTCTCTGACAAAGGGGCAGCTGCCCCTAAGCATACATATAAATTGAGGATTAGAAAAGATAAGACAAAATGAAGGCTGAAGGACTCTGAATTGTGCCTTTAAACTTTAGTTTTATTGGGGGATGCTCTGGGGACTCTCTCAAATGGTTAAAACATTGGATAAAAAGATAAAAAATATAGCATAGCCGACTAAGTTCAAAGTAATGCTAGCATTTTAAGATTAGCATTTATATAAACTGCTGTTATGATCTCCTATACTTGGGGTTTTAGTTAGTTGTGGTTATCTTTCCTTTCTCCCTAGAAGTAGTTACCCCTCCCTATTTTTTCATTGTAGTTTTGTAGTCTATTAAAAATGTAATAAAAAATCCCCTCTGGGGGGCCAAAAAAAGAAAAGAAAATACAGACAGCTCTACGAACTGCTGCTGCAAACCTCCTGACAACGGGGTAGCAAAGCATTCCTTGCTGCTTCTCATACCTGTCAATCACAGCCATGATTTCTCTCGTTCTCTAGAACAAACAGAATACAGAATTAGGGACCTAGAGCCTCGGAATCCAGCCAGGTAATAAACCAAATGGCTACTGTGTGGCACGCTGAGATTCCTGGTAAAGCATGGCCAACTGGGCAATCCTGTGCCTAATACATAAATGGTATGATTCAGAGGACATGCCTGTTAGCTGACATCATATCTTTCAATAAAAAGAACAGATTATTTTGTAGGAATTAAACTATTTGGTTTTCTTCCCACCTCTCTCTGTCCCCAAGAATAATAAGTTAGAATAGCTTTCCTGCCAGCTGGTAAAACTCAGGAGAATTTGACATTCCTGACATTCGACTTTGATCCTGCTTTCATCAAAGTCGAAATGATTAATCATCTAAGGGAGATGCTAAGTGTTTGTGCCCTCTCTTAATTAATTTACATACAGGAATGTGTTTGCTCTGAGTAGAGAAATAGCTTAGTGATTGAATGGTTAGTATCTTGCAGCTGATACGCAGGGTGGGTTCAGGAAGTTATGACAATTATGTATATGATTTCTGGGCCCTATGAACCTTCCAACCCATACCAACTCCTTGGCAGTCCTTATTTAGAACAACAGCTATAAATAAAAGAAACCAACATATTAGAACTTCCCATTAAAAGTGGGTATCTGAATCTACCTTTGCTAGCCTGCATTAGCTGTACCACATGGACCTGCCGTGAAGCAAGTTAAATGGGTGTGGAATTCTTGGACAGTACCATTATTTCTGCTAACTACCATGGGACATTTCTCGGACCTTCCTGTTGAGTTAAGTTTCTTCACTATGTTTCTTCAGATGTTTTGGTGTTTAGTGTCACTCCCTTAACGCCTATTAGCATAAATATCCTGGAGTCCGGACTGTAATCTGATAGGTTGGTCTCTCCCTGAATTTGCTCCCTGATTTTACAGGAGGTTATTCTATTAAGCCCTGTAAGGAAAATCAAGCTGGGAAGGAATAACCCAAAGTAATCCCCGTAAGCTTTGTAGCCAAGTGAGAGTTTGAACTTGGATCTTTCAAGTCTAAGTCCAGAATTCTGTTTATTATACCCTATTGGCTCTAATTATCACTGGCCAAGGTAGGGCAGTCCTGTAGGAGGTGAGCCAGATTGGAAGATTCTATCATTTTTGCTGGCTATTCATATTGACCCATTCTTAGTCCAGGAGAAGGAGTTTATTGCAGACATGATTAAGTCACTTTTGGCTCATTGTATGTAACAAACTATTAATGCAATACATGTTTATACTTACATTATCTTACAGATTGTGTAGTGGTTATGCAATGTGCCAAGATCCTCTTCTTAGTCCAGGGGATACCAGCAGTTATGAGCACCAGTTCATTTTAAAGAACGTTCCAAGTTTATGTTAGGAGATAAGAAATAGAGACTCTTCCATGGTCGCTGTTCTTCCATGGCTTCTCATCCTTTAGATTAGAGTCATAAGGTAAAATCCCACCAAATATTTAGTCCAAGGCTCTCCAGTGGGTTGGAGCCACTGGAAAATCCTGAGTATGTGGACTTTCATGTACAAAATGCACTGCACTTATGGGAGGAGGGGTCATAGTGAGGCAGGTGAATTGAGCAAAATGGAGGTTTGGGGGCAAATACTTGCTATAGGTAGATGTGGGAAAGATCTAATCCATCAAACTCCTTCCAAGACCTTTCCTACTGGATTCATCCTATTACTCCTAAAGAATCCCTACTTCCTTTCCTCTTAGGCATCATCTCAAAATATTTGGGAAAAAACCCACCTAGAAATAACCTGCCCCTTAATACAAGGTTTAGTATAAATAAGCATAATTCTGACACTCATTTCTCATAATGGAAGGAAATAGTCTCCTAGTCCTTTTATCATCCATGTCAATATTTTCTGGATTTCTGTTTGTCAGACCTTTTTTGAAGTGTGTCATCTGAAACAGCATGTAGTTCTCATACTAAGGGCTATACAGCATTCACTATAGTGGTACAACTAATTTTGAAATTTGAAACAGAAGTTAATACAACCTAGATGTTGCAATTCTGTTACAAGCATTGGTTTATGTCCCATTTATTTTATAGGCCAACTTTAAACAATGTTTAACAATTAGCAAATTGATAGAGGCATTTTGAAGACTTGACATTGTCTTGCATGTATTGAATTGTTTTGAGCAATGGTAATGTAGTGGCGATTTGAGTCAAACCTTACAGTAAAATGAGGCTGTGACTTTTACCACTAGATCCTTGCTCCAAACTCTATTGGAACAGGCATATTTTAAAAGAGTGGACGTTGATCACCAGGCTTTATTAAAAAGATGATTGTTAATAACAGCCAATTAGTCAAAAAGTGCTTCCATTCTAATTGCAAACGATACCATCAATGGGAATGTTTTGTCACATTCCATTGTAATTAATGGCTGCAGGAGTCATGTAAAATTTTCTGGCAGATGGTACCCCAAATCTGTGAGCAACCCATATTTTGTTTATATAATTATATTTGTTCTGCAGTGAAGTACGTGCAAACATTAACCTGTTTTGCTCTTGTCAGTTTAATTAACATTTATATTCCTCATTAATTGCTAAATCATAGTGAATGCAAAAGTGTTGTGATCAGTGCTTGGACTGCTCTTGCTGAGTTCTTTCATTTTCATTTCTCCTGAAACTTCAACTAGATTCCTCTCAGATAAGATTTGTAGACTGGGGCAATTACTCTTCTCTCTTGTTCCTTCTCCATTTATTTTCTGGTCTCCACTACTAATGGATGTTAGTACAGAATTAAAAAGTCATAGTTTTCAGTGCTTGGGGGGAAATCCGCCTTTCATAAATGGGATCCATATTCCGAACTGGGTAGATACATGGGTCAACTGACTACATGAAAATAACTCTGTTGTTATTAATAGGTGAATGGAAGATGTTGACATATGATTTCTAGGATGCATGGTGGAAACCATAAATTAAAGACAGATAGAAAAAGGAGACATGATAAAATACAATATTGGGAAGTAAAGACTTCAAATCACCTTTTAGGATTAGATAATTCCCATTCTTTGATTTCTAATGTTTGTCTTGTTCTCTGTTGCCTTTTGTTTCAGATCTCCAGTTTGGTGCCTGTTGATCAGTTTCATTTATATCAGCGATTGAAATTTGAGAGAGGTGTGCACTGTTAATTTTACCTTCACTTTATAGAACATTAATACTTGTTACATTTCATATTGAGTAGCAAAATAGTCATAACAACAAGCAAAGCATTGGTAGGAAGCCTTCAAGCTAAACTTAGTGGTGACATTCAAACACTGGCTATGCTGATATTCGCGCATTTTACCTTTCTTTCAAATCATGGGATCTTGAATAAAGAGAGGCCCTTAGTACAACCTGTCCAATGAAGCAATTATGTAAGTCACTTGCCTTGGTGTGCAATAAACAAAGTTTACTGTGTGTGACCATAATTGGTAAGTACCTTTTAGTAAGGGTGCACGATCACACAGTTCTATTGCAAGTGACAATAAGGGACAAGAAAGAAATTCCACCTTGTCCCTTTGCAGCTCCATATTTAAAAAAATCTAAAAGCTTTTTGAAAGTGAGATGCTCAAAAGTTTTATTTAAGAGTGTGTGTGTGTGGGGGAGGACTGGAAGTTGAACACCTTCCTTGTTTTCCATTTCATATAAAATCTCCTATTTCATAGAAAAGTTGTTTTAACTTCTATCTGATGCCTCAAAAATGGATCTGTGCAAAATTTCATTGCATGTGGCCTGCATATCTTGTCAAAATCATTCTGTGCTTTCAACGATCCTTTTGAAAAGCAGATAAAACGGGCTCCCTCACTTATAGAAAGTGCAACAGCTACAAAACTAGGTATATCAGACAGTTTGTCTTGATTACTTTTCCATGCAGTATCCTCATGCTTTAAGGAAAAAGATTTAAAGCATGAGCTCTGGTGAATCATTATCTGACTGAAGTTTGAGGCACTGGGAGGTGGTGGGCTCTGTTTCTTTGGAGGTTCTTAAGCAGAGGCTAGATGGCCATCTGACAGCAATTCTGATTCTCTGAGTTTAGGCAGATCATGAGAGGAAAGGAGGGAAGGGCTGAGCCAATGTTTGGCTCTCGTGGTAATGCCAATTTCCACTTTGTGGTCAGGAAGGAATTTGCCTCCTGGCCAGATTGGCCCAGGGATCCTGGAGGTTTTTTGCCTTCTTCTGGGCATAGAGCAGGGGTCACTGGGGGGAGTGGGGAGGGGAAGGTAGTTGTGAATTTCCTGCATAGTGCAGGAGGTTGGACTAGATGAGCCTTGAGGTCCCTCTCAGCTTGATACTTCTATCAGTGATTTGACTTATGAAGCTAGTAGAAAAATTCAGGCTGAATGTAAACTGAGAAATAGACAATGAAATATGCAAGTTAATATGCTGTGCATTTGGATTTATTTTTATTATTTTTTTACTAACTTCTTCAGAAGTCCACCTGGATCCACTCAGGGCCTGGTGCCCCTCTGCTGACTGTCAAACTGTGTGCCAAATTGAACCCAGTGAATCTGGACTACCAGTGCCTGTAAACTGTCCAGCTTGCCATTTGACGTTTTGTTCATCATGCAAAGAACCCTGGCATCTGGAGAGATCATGTCTGGAAAGCCATCTCATTGTGGTACCAAATGAACAAGGGTAAGTGAAAGATTGGCTTAATGTGTGTGTAAATTTTCCATATTGTCAACTGCAACAAATTCCATTTTTATTTAAATGCAATTTTTAGAAGTAGACAAAATCTATTTGCACAACTTCCGATACAAGCTATTTAGAGAGAATACCACGTCACATCCAGAAAAATTTAATGCAGGAGTTCGATATGCTGTTTCATATTCCTGTCGTCCAGTTGCAGGAGTATAGCCATGCTGGCTAGGCATTGCCCTCCAGTGCTCATTCTTAGTGCATTCCACGTGTCTGATGTTCTGTGATAAGAACATGTTACATTTGCATGCTGCAGTACCCTTTGGAATTATGTGAGAAGCTTTTGTAGGAATGTGTAACTTGTATAAGGAATTTGTTTGGGGAGCTGTTTTGCACATTATGGTACTGGAAAATGCCATAATCTGCACATTTTGAAAAAAATACCAACTATCATAACTGGAGCAGGGGGACATGTGCTTCAACTATATGTACAAATGTGCACACTTCTCCAGTGCGGGATAGGTGCACAATATGTGGTTGCATGGAAACAGAATATATGAATTTATGCTTCTACTCTTCTATGGCAAGTTATATGTATTTGTGCATTCTTCTGAGTATAGACATTTATAGTACAGTCAGCCTTTTTGTGCAAGTCTCTTTGATCATAATGGTACTTGTGTATAAATTACAAAGCCAGTTTGGTGTAGTAATTAAGAGCGTGGACTCTAATCTGGGAGAACTGGGTTTGATTCCTCACTCCTCTACATGCAGCTGTTGGTGTGACCTTGGGTCAGTCATAGGTTCTTTCAGAGCTGTTCTCTCAAGAGCAGTTCTCTCAAGAACTCTCTCAGCCCCACCTACCTCATGAGGTGTCTGCTATGGGGAGGGGAATGGAAATGAGGTTGTAAACTGCTCTGAGACTCCTTCGGGTAGTGAAGGGTGGGGTATAAATCTAGTCTCTTCTTCTCTTCTTCAAAAAGTACTTCCTTCCGATGGAGCTAATGTATACAATCAACTCTTAGATGCAGTGTCCTCAATGCACTTATTATCCATGTGCTGGTAGTCACCACTGATATACAGATGTTTCACACATTTAGGCTGATGGCTGGGTATTTTAATCTTATGGTCTCTGCAGAGTGCCATCAGAAGGAAGTGCTTTTCTGTAGCCTTTACGCAGAGGCAAGGATGCTTCTATTGATCCAGATTCATTGGGGGAATTCTGCAGGCTACCTACCCAGGCAGCACAGCTGAGTGAAGATGAAGGGATCGTGCAGCAGCCTCACAACAGGCATTCCAAAGCCACAGTGTCAGGCTACTCCCTTTCCCCCTTGCTTTTCTAGATCACTTATCAAGACTGACACAGAAGCACCAGTTAAGCAGTGCCCTGTCTGCCGGATCTATATCGAGCGAAACGAAGGCTGTGCTCAAATGATGTGCAAGAACTGCAAGCATACCTTTTGCTGGTACTGTCTACAAAACCTGGATGTAAGTGATACGTAGCAAAGGAACTGGGGCAGGAATTGTACGGTCGTCTTCAGAAGAGGGTCCCTCCTCCTTTTGTTTGGTTTTGTTAGCTGGCCTTTCACTTTTGCAAGTACGTCTTTCTCTTTTCTCACCCCAGGCCCGTAGCTACAGTGGGGCCTTTCAGGGCTCTGCCCCTTAAACAGAAGCCCTTCCCCACAAATAGCCTTGAAAGGAAGGGCTAGAAGCAGCCATGGAGCCTCCCCCTTTAAAGACAGACATTCAGATTAAGTTAATTAACTATAATTTAACTTTAAAATGTAAATGCCCCCCAAACAAAAAATCCTGGCTATGGGGCTGTCTCACCCTATGTCCTGGCTAGGTTGTTTTCACAATAAACACAGTTAGTGATCACTGTGTGTGTGTGTAAATGCAAATGATAATGACATTTCTGTGGTATTCAAATTGTGAAACTTGGTGTTAAATAGTGGGTTTAACACGGCAGATGTGAAGGCAGAGTTATTTCAGCAAGCAGCAGTTGATTGCATCTCAACAGGAATACTTTAGATGGGAAAACTGGCCTAACTATATACACCTAAACCACTCCCAGCCCCCATGCGATTGGTGAGTTCGAATGGCCTCCAGGCTCCAGATTGGCTGGCTGCCCTCAGGGGCCAATCCGCAGGCAGGTTCCGGGATCCTGCCTGCCTTTGTTCTGGGGCTTCAAGCTCCAACTAGGTGGCCTTCCCAGACATGCCTCCCCACTCTCCATCTAGGTGGCCTGCCAGACAAGTCCAGGCATGACTCCTTATGTCCAGACATAACACTCAGATTTGCAGCAATGCAGGACCAGAATCAAAGATGTGATGAACCAGATGAGGCTGCTTCCTAGGCTGGCCCTACATGTTTTCTGTCCATGATTTATCGTGCTCCTTCCTTTGCCTTTCAGAATGATATCTTCTTAAGACATTATGACAAGGGCCCATGCCGAAACAAACTGGGCCACTCCCGTGCCTCGGTTATGTGGAACAGAACACAGGTATATGCTAATAACCTGATTCATTAATTTGTAATATGGGGTTGGGGGGGGCTCACTGGAGCAGCCTGAATAGCCCAAACTAGCCTGAGCTCCTCAGAATTCAGAAGCTAAGCCGGCTTGGCTAGGGTTATTTCTTGGATGGGAGACCACCAAGGAAGACGGGGGTTCCTGTGCAAGAGCGTGGTAATGGCAAACCACTCCTGCTCATCACTTGGAGTGAAAACCGCATGAAGGGTTGCTGTGAATCGATTGCAACTTGATAGCACTTTATTATTATGACTCAGTAGCAGAGCATCTTCTTTGCTTACAGAAGGTCCCAGGTTCAACCTCCAGTTAAAAGGATCAGGTAGTAGTTACTGTGAAAGCCCTGAGAACCTGAAGAACTGTTGCCAATCTGTGTAGACAGGAAAGACAGGGATAGGCCAATGGTTTGATTCAGTATTAAGATATCTTAAGAGCCAGTTTGGTGTAGTGGTTAAGAGCATGGACTATAATCTGGGAGAACTGGGTTTGATTCCCCACTCTTCCACATGTAGCCAGCTGGGTGACCTTGGGTTAGTCACAGTTCTCTCAGCGTGTCTGTTGTGGGGAGAGGAATGGAAGGAAGCTACTCTGAAACTCTGAGTGAAGGGCAGGGTATAGATCCAACTCTTCTTTGTCTTCTTCGTATTCATCTCCTCCATCTTTTCCCTCCTCTTCCTTCCTCCTCCTCCTTTCTTCTTGCTCTTTCTTCCTTGGATTTAACTGTATAAACTGTGTATATATAAAATTTCCCTGTTTCACATTTGCCTTTCTCCTTTTCAACTTTGCAGGTTGTTGGGATTCTTGTGGGCCTTGGTATCATTGCCCTGGTGACATCTCCCTTGCTGCTCTTAGCTTCGCCGTGCATTATCTGTTGTGTCTGCAAATCCTGCCGAGGCAAGAAAAAACACACGACCCACTGACAACTTAGAGTGCTCTGTCTGCCAAGTGTGAATGTCTGCTTAGCGCATGCGAGGGAAGAGACATGAAAACTGATCAATGGCACCAGTGCGTTATCAAATGATTTCCCCTCTTTGCCAACTTTTGTGCAAAATAAGTGCCTGCAGTTTCAAGGGACAATGTATTATTCGCAAGTTGCAGTTCAGAGAAGGACTGGGCAGTGGCGTGTGCGGAATCCAGTTGTTTTTTTAAAGAGGTAGGGCCTGCAAAATATTTTAATAGTCCCCCAAATAACCTTGTGCTTAAATCTGCTTGAAGTCTGCGGATGAAGTTATCTCCCCCACTCCCGAGCCAAGATTCTGAATGTATATTGGTTTTTGAGCACTTTAATTTTTCATCCTCTGAAGTAGTCTTATTTTTAAGGTATAGGAATACAGGTGAGCGATCTAGACCTATTTTACAAATTCTTTGGATGATGTACGCCTGTTGCTATGATTGGTTTGTTTCTTGATGATTCATAATTTTGTTTAATCTGATAGGAAAAATTGTGTTGAATACTATGTGTGGGATCTTAACAATATGCATTTGCTAAACACCCAGTTAAAAGACTGTACCAGCAACAGAAAGTGCTTGGAACTGGTATCTCCACTAGTGCAATTTTGCCAACCGTGATCGTAAGCTGTTGTAGGAATGCAGCATCAATAAACCAAGCAAATGATCCTGTTGTACTGCTTAGAACCTCAGCATAAACTATAATCAAGCATCATGGAAACTATGGGTGGCACTGGTGCCAGATGTCCACCAGCAGATCCCAGGGAGGCTGTGGAAACTGTGAACAGGTGCCTGGAGGCAGATTTGAAATGAATGAGGGCTAACAAGCTGAAACTTAATCCCAACAAAAGGGAGGTGCTACTGGTGGAGAGAAGGTCTGACCCGGGAAATGGGTTATCCCCTGTTCTGGATGTGGTTGCACTCCCCCTAAAGGAACAGGTTCATAGCTAGGGGGTGCTCCTGGATCCCTACCTCCTGTTGGATAAATAGATGGCAGCGGTGGCCAGGGTACCTTTCACCAGCTTTGGCTGGTGAGCCAGCTGCTGCCTTTCCCGGATCTTGCCACTGTGGTGCAGGCCCTGATAACATATAGATTAGATTACTGCAATGTGCTCTACATGGGGCTGCCCTTGAAAACTGCCCAGAAGCTACAATTGGTAGAGGATGCTACAGCAAGATGTTGACTACAGTGGGTTGTAGGGACTGTATCGCAGGGTTGGCTCTAGATTATGGGGGCCCTGGACAGAGAGTTTCCTTCCTGCCCAGCCCATGTGTCTCATTACCTGCCTGTGTATCCTTCCCATGCCCTGACTGCAGGCCCTCCCGCTGCCCATGCTCAAAGCAATCTGCATGGCCAGCAGCCAGTGTTCCCTCTAAGCTGAGTTAGTATGAGCTAGCTCACAATTTTTTAGCCTCCGGCTCACACCTTTTTGTCTTAGCTCAGGAAAGATGGCTCCAGAGCAAACTAATTTATGCAGTGACCAAATTGCTCACTCACAACTTTAATGCCAGTAGCTCACAAAGTACAATTTTTGCTCACAGGACTCCACAGCTTAGAGGGAACATTGCCAGCAGCCCTTTGCCTGATGGCACTGGGCAGTGTACGCAGCTGGGAGCTTGAGTGGTGGAGTGCTCACAACTGAGCAGGCAGGGAAAAGGCCGGCAGTAGTGGGCCCTCCCAGAATACCGGAGCTCTGGCAGCTGCCCCACCTGAGGGTATGCTGACGCCGGCCCAGCTGTATCACTCCAGTCTTGTTCCACCTACACTGCCTTCCAATTTGCTTCTGGGCTCAATTCAAGGTGCTGGTATTGACCTTTAAAGCCCTTTACAGTTTTGGTCAAACATACATTAAGGACCACCTTCTCCCATATGAACCTATTCCAGCTCACTCAGGTCATCCATGGAGACCCTGCTTTGGTTGCCCCTGCCATCTGAGGCTAGATGGGTGGCGACCTGAGAAAGGGCCTTCTCTGTCATGGCACCAAAAGGTTGGAACTCCCTCACCAGGGAGATTTGTCTCTCTCCCTCTATCGTGTCTTTTGCCAGTCTTTTCTTTTGTCTGGCATACCCCCAATAATGGTATTGGCCATTCTTGAGAACCAGTTTGGTGTAGTGGTTAGGAGTGCAGACTCTAATCTGGGAGAACCTCCACATGCAGCCGCTGGTGTGGCCTTGGGTCAGTCACAAGTTCTCTTAGAGCTGTTCCCTCAAGAGCAGTTCTCTCAGAGCTCTCTCAGCCCCACCTACCTCACACGGTGTATGTTGTGGGGAGGGGAAGGGGAAGGAGATTGTAAGCTGCTCTGAGACTCCTTTGGGTAGTGAAGGGCAGGGTATAAATCCAATCGCTTCTTCTTCTAGTACTGTGTTTATGTGTTTTTAAGCTGAATTTTATAATTGTAACTGTATTTTTAATTGTTAATTTTTTTAAAAAAATGTTTGCTGCCTTGTGGACCCTGATTGGGTGGGAAAGTGGCAATTTTTTAAAAATAAATAAAATAAGTAATCAGAACGCGTGATATGCCTGGACAGGAGCAGAAGGGTTGGTTGGGCTGCCTGTGGCATAGGACAGGTGCAGGCCTGAATCTCTCTCCGTCAATGTCCTGCTGTGGGGCTCAGGAGATGAGCTAAAGCCCCCTTAAGGGGTGGGAAGCTCTGAAGTACTGTGGTGGCACTAGAGTGTCTTCAGCACACTGTCCACACTGGTGTACAGTGAACATTACACAGCCAGTTTGGTGTAGGGGTTAGGAGTGCACACTCTAATCTGGAAGGACCGGGTTGGATTCCCCTCCCCTCCACACTGACCCTGGGTCAGTCACAAGATCTTTCAGAGCTGTTCCCTCAAGAGAAGTTCTCAGTCAGAGCTCTCTCAGCGCCACCCACCTCACAGGGTGGCTGTTGTGGGGAGGGGAAGGGAAAGGAGATTGTAAACCGCTCTGAGACTCCGAATGAAGGGTGGGGTATAAATCCAATCTCTTCTCTTCTACAATGAACATTACAATGAAAATGTACTTTTTTTTAAAAAGACACCTTTCCACTAGAATCACATCAGTTTACCCATAAGACAACTTTCCCATAGCTGTATCACAAAATAAGGTAGGAAAGGAACAAGGAGAGAGACTCCTTGTTGGTCTACTTCCTGGCTTCGAACTTGCTTAACAACAATCACTCCATCCTCAACAGGGCAAACTGTTGTTTCCCAAATTCTGTGGTAAAAAGTGGTGCCGTATGAGTAAGATGTAGCAGCTTTTTTCCTTGCTTCAACATCAACGTTAAATACCTTCTTCTTGCTTGGATGGACTTTCAACAGCTACTGGTTGCAGCTTCTGGCTCGATTGCTATCTTGACTTGTCATCTCATTTTGTTCTGCACTATGTAATTTGGAGGTTGAATGCTGGTGTAAATAAATCTAATAATTCAAGGAAAGTCATATTATGTTGCACTGTCTGTGTTGTACAAAACAATACTGAATATTTTGCATGTACTGTGCTATGCTGTCCTCATTTATCTATTCAATTTCACTCAACAGCCTTGTTAAATCACTGGATTCTCAGGTTTAGGGAGATTATTATCACTTTGCCAAGAAACTCGTCTTTTAGAATTGTTGCAAAGGATCCCTTTGATACCTCACATTGATCACCATTCTAAGGTACAAAGTAAATGCAAATTGAAATTGTAGTCTCCCAAGCCTAGTTGTAGTTTAAAAAAACTGTGGGGGGAAATATGTGCTGTTGGAAAAGGCAATGCCTGGTGTACAAAGAAGGAGAGAAGACCCTGCAGGGAGCAGCAAGAAGATAATTAGATAGGATAGTGAGGACAGCACCTTCTCTCTCCTGTTCAGTGTCATTCCTTGTCTGTCTCCAGATTGCTACTCTTAGGGCAATTTCCCCCTTCTTCTCGGAAGTGACACACTCAGTCTCTCTCTCTCTCAGCTAGAGATGTGTAGTTAGGAACCTATCTCTGTCTCCCCTTTAGCTTGTTATTTAGCTTTGTCTTTGCACATTTTCATCATGTTACATGTTAATTTGCTGTTCAGCCCATCTATAAATTTGAACCTTACCTGAAAAAGGGTGCCTTGCACACAAAAGCTCATAACTTGAATAAAACTTTGTTGGTCTTAAAGGTACTACTCGACTCTAAATTTGTTCTGCTGCTTCAGACCAATGCAGCTGACCACCTGGATCTATCTCCTCTTTCCCGTCAAGTATGTTCCTAAACAGGCGTCATTTCGTAGAAAAAGAGGCGCAGGAACTCATTAGCATAACTTATTTGCATAACTTATTTGCATATGCCACACCCCCTGACATCACCAGAAGTGTGTCAGAAGGCAACACCCACCACTCAGGCTCCACTGGACTGTTTTGGATTGCTAGCTATTGGGAGGTGGAACTCGCAGCTCTGCCCTCACAGAGGAGGGAGAGCTTGTACCTGAAGGTGGGCGGGGGGGGGGCTCTGCAACTTACCTGGCTGCTTCTTGCTCCTTGTGGCCCAACTGAGGGCTGCTGTGAGCAGGGGGCAGGGCTTGTTGCATGTGCCCGCCCCCATGGCTCCTTACTGCCGGAACTCTGCTCCTGTGCGCTCCCGCAGGAAATGACCCCTGTTCCTAAATAAACCTTTATCTATAATCAGGTTGTGCTCTGTTGCGGTGTTAATTACTCTGCCAACATATGCAAAGTTCAGCAGCAGAATAGCTGGGGGTGGGGGCAGGAATGAGGTGAAACCTTGGCCATTTATCTGATCAAAATCTCTTTTCTCCTTGGAGAAAAGGATACGGTTGCTCCAATATATATTTAAGGAAGCGTAGTACTGAAGACAAGCATTAGGAATTTAAGCTTGGAGTCTCCTCTTTTAACTCTCTCAGGTTTTGAGTAAAGCAGGCTGACTGTTAGGGCACTTGAATTATTACTTACAATATGGACAACAGTAATTTTATAGTACACCGGAGAGATTTAAAACAAAACACGTAGAACTTTC